AAAAAAAAAAAAAAATTACCTTGTTGGAGAAGAGTCCTTTGCCGATGCCGTACAATTTTTTCGACATTTTTTTGAATTTTTTTTATGCTCGAATCGTTCGTTGAAGTTTGGAAAATTTAGAGAGATAAAGTTTAGAGAGATGAAATCCAAAAAAGGGTTAAGGGCAAAAGAGTAAATGGGGGGGCGGTGACTAGTAAAAGGGGGCAGTGAATAGTGATTGAGTTGCGAGTATTACAAAAATGAGGCCCTGAATAATTGGGCCTATGCTTGTGCTTTGGGCAACTAGCCCAATAACCAGGCCTGTGACAAACAATATGTAACTGATTTCCGTCAACATGTATGTTCATAATCCAAAGATTCTGACCCAATTAGTAGATTCAAATTAAATAAATAATATTCATCAAAACTAAATAGTGGAAAAATGTTAAAAACATTGACCACCCTGTCACAATCATACATTACATATTGATCTGGACATGATATATTATTATATTAAACATATGCTTTTTTTTTTCTTGTTTTCTAATAAAATCATCAGTTTGCCCTGCAATCAACATATCATGAAGCACAAAACATACTTTGAGAGAAAAATAAAAAAATAAAATAAAACAAAATCCAATTATTTACAGAGAATATGGCAGAAATTGGTTTGATTTTGATCATACTCTCCCTAGCAACAACTTTGTTTTTCTACTCAATTCAACTTCTGATGAAATTCTTGCACAAAGTATGGTGGTCGCCCGTTCGACTCCAATCGAAAATGAATTTACAAGGAGTTCAGGGACCTCCTTACAAATTCCCACATGGCAACACTAAAGAGATCACTCACATGAGAAGCTTATCCATGGAAAAACCGATGGATGATGTGTCGTTTCATGACATTTTTCCCAGATTACATCCTCATGTTCATGCTTGGACAAAGGCCTATGGTAAAATTTGGACAAAGTTTAAAGCTTTGTTTTTATCTTATGTTAGTTAATTGCAGAGCAGCAGAAGGAACCCATTAAAGTATCAAAATTGCATAAAAAATTAGAATCATACAAATTTTCCTTCTGATGGGTTGAGTTTGCAATCATACTATCTTCTTTTTTTTTTATATATATATTAAAATCTTTTTGTTTTATGACAGGAAAAATTTTCTTGAATTGGCACGGTTCGGAGTGCCAATTGTTCGTAACCGAACCGCATATGGTAAAGGAAATACTAATGAACAAAAACGGTGTTTTTCCGAAAATGGACATGGATGGCTATGCAAATAAGCTTCTCGGACGAGCACTAATCACGAACGAAGGCGAAAAATGGTCGAAAATACGGGAATTGGCTGATTACACCTTCCATTCGGACAGTTTGAAAGTAAACATCTATTTTACATTTGTCGAGCTATTTTATTATTACTTCATAGTAATAATAATAATCTGTTTTTTTGGAAAATTTGAACGTGCAGAGTATGGTTCCGAAAATGAGTTCGAGTGTGGAGATGATGTTAGAGAGATGGAAAGGGTATGAAGGGAAGGAAATTGATGTGTTTAAGGAATTTGGACTTCTTACAACTGAAGTAATTTCAAGGACAGCCTTTGGAAGCAGTTATTTGGAGGGAAAACATGT